GTCGATGCAGCCACGACCACGTCTGAAGCCAGCTTGATTCCCTCGTGTTCGCAGTTCACGAGTCTTAGTTAGGCGTCTGATAATGGTCGAGGCTAGTATTTTAGATACTATATTAGTTAAACTAATCCCTCTATGGTTGTCACATGATGATTTTAACCCTCTCTTATATATTGGGACGATCAGTGATTGTGACCACTCAGATGGGATTACATTCAATTCCCAGATTTCAGCTAAAACATTAGTCAACCTGATCGCTAAAATTTGACCACCATACTTCAAGACATCTGGAGCCAATCCATCACTACCAGATGCTCTTCCTCGTTTCAGATTAACTATAGCCTTCTGAACTTCTGCTAGAATTGGGGGACCTACTTCAATGTTCCATTCAGACTGTCTGGGAATGGAGGGCAGTTGTACAGTAGCTGAAGTCCAGCTGAACTGCCCCTTAAAATGTTCCGCCCCTTGTTCTAAACGTCTGGACTGAGAGCAGATGAGATTGTCGTCTTTTTCCGAGATAGTCTCACTTACACATGACTTATTAATGCCAGTTTCTTTTATGAGTCTGAAGAACTGTCTTGTGTTCTCTATAGCCGCCGCCTTTTCCATCTCTTGCTTTCGTTGACCACCACTGCTCACGGTCGTTCCCTAGACTTTTGGTTAACATAGATCTCATTTGTTGTCGCTCTTCATCATGTTCAGAGCCTGATGGAATGAGTTTACAAGAATCCATCAGTGCAATAGACTTAGAAGAAATCCATTGGTTCTTTGTAACTCTTTGGTCTAAATCACTAACAGATGTCACTGCCGTCTGTATATCTTTCCAAGCAACACTTAGGTCAGCCTTGTTTTCAGAACTACCCAAGTGTGACCTCAGTTGTTCCAGGAACCTACTTTTGGTTTCCTCGTTACTCAATTCAGTTCCAATGGGTCATTTTTATGTGGCTTTTTTGCTTCCTGTGAGGCGCAAGCAGTATAGCCAGTATAGCTCGGTTGCTTAATCACTATAGGCAAGCCTGACCACCACGTCAATGTAGCAACAACGGTCGGGTTTATCAGTAACTAATTTAAATACTTGAAAATTCTTAGCGGATTTCTAGACTCATGAAGTCTTTTTACACTTAAATCCCGAAAATACAAACGAAATGTTATTTACAAAATCGGATTATGTGCGTAAATCAACGCTGTCCTATCAAAAATACTTGTACTATTGATGTGCTTTAAAAGTCAATATCTCGTTTTGAAACTGTTTGCCTGTCATGAAAAAGAACAATTTTACTGCTATTTCAAAAGAATTAAACTTCATAAGTTTGATTATGTGTTGGTTTTTGACCATGCACCACTAAGGAATGTGAAACCCAAAAACAGCTTTCGTTGATGTTGTGTTTCCTAGGCTGGTCTGTTTGCAGAGCTTTCGTTGGCATTCTAAACAGCATCTTCACCTCTTACTTGGTTAAAAAATACCCACCTGAGCTGTAAATCTTCGCCATCATTTCAAAATGAACCATTCATTCAGCGTTTATTGATTTTCATTGGTCTTACAGCTAGGTGTCAATTCTCTGTAAAATACATGATTTATTTAAACATATCTAGAGCAGTTTTTAATTGTTACTTTCATTGATAAAGAAATATTCATCCGTTTAACTGTAATACAATATTTTTATCTGTATTGCTATGGTAACCTGTATCTCTGTAGATTAATGGAAATCTATTGCTCTTTAGAGAAAGAAAGAAGTTTGAGTAGTGTTTTGTTGGCTCTTTATTCAGTGAATTCAAAAATATGACTAAATGTTTTGATTTTTTTCGTAACTCAAGTGAATTCGGTCTTGCTGGAGGAGTGTTTACACAAAATTTAGCGACTGCCCATCGTATAGCCTCACAACTACAATGTGGTTCTATATACATTAACAGTTACAATGTTTACCCACCTGGTATTCCATTTGGAGGTTATAAACTATCTGGGTTCGGTCGAGAAAATTCAGTTGACACGTTAATGGCTTACAGTCAGTTGAAGTCAATTTACGTAGAAGGTGGATCACTTCCCTATCCGTTCCCTGAATGATTCTAATCAATGATTGTTTAGTGATTGGTCCAATCATTAAAGTTGATTTTAATAACTAATCAATGATAAAACTTAAATTCCCTTGATTTCAATGATAAATAATATGATCTCTCTGATTTAACTAACATTCCATATTTTGTTTAATCATAAGTTCAAAATAAATTTTTAATTATTTCGTTCGGTTTTTTGTTGTCCTCACTGTTAAACTATCCAAATTTCGGTGTGTAGCTGGTCGTAAAAGACTGTAAATTTAAACTTCATATATCCCGTAAACTATTGAGATTTTGTATGTAATCTTGAAGAAATACGTATTCTTATGGAAACAGGATCGTATATGCTTTACTTTAGCCATATCCGCGAAAGAATTAGGTACACTTTGGATATCATTTCAAGTTCATATAAGACGTTATCTGGAAATTCAGTACACCTACGTTTTTTAACAAAATTACTGAATAGATTTTGTTTGTTATTAATTTATAAAGATTGGGTTAATGAGAACACTTCCTGCCATAAAATATAATCAGCTAGATAACTGTCGGGAAGAATGCATTGCAAACAGTTTCATCTTAAGCTGTCATAATTAAACTTAGGATAATACTGTACGTCTTAGGAACCAATGTTCTTCAACAAGCAACGAATAATAAAATGCTTGTTAGACGCTAAGTGCCATTTAGTCTTATTGCGTTTATATTACACTTCGTACGTAAAAACTTTGGATATCAAATACATTCCTTCGTTTACATAAAACAGCTTATACACAATGTTAGTGACCAGGAGACAAGTGAATAAAATTAGAAATTGTTTATAAATTATGTACAATAAAATTGAGGGACATGATCACTCTATTTGTGCCTTCAAATAGCCTGAATATCATGACTTCGCTAAATAACGTCGGGTGATGAATAAAATGGTTTATACATTTTGAACAGACTATTTATCGCTAATAAAAAGACAAAATTTTATTAGAACCATTAGGAGATCGCTTTACACAGCCTACGTCGTGTTGGAAAGAACAAGTTAGAAAATGAATTTTCGTAAATCACTTCATAATACTAAGTTCGGATAATATAAACATGAATGTAATTAGTAAAAGTGTACTTATCATAATTGTCAAATCATATATATCCCACGACAATATTTGTTGACATACTATTATTAACTTCACAGTAGAGTGAAGCTGCTCGTTTATGATTTGGCTAAAACTTGGTAATCCGAGCTGATCGCCAGTAAATGAAATGTCAAGTCCACCTACAAAAGTCAGTTAGATCTACTCCATGAATATCTCCAAATATGCAACTTATAATGCGGATTTGTCTCATAACCTTTGCATAGTAATTTTCGAGTTACGGTTACGTGTAATAGATATTCAGATTTATAAACTATAATAGACTGAGCAACGTTTATAACTGTAATCCAATGGTTGAAAGTTGAGTGCTTGTACAACTAGGCGACAGCCGAAATTCATAAGCGAATGTGAATCACCGAATGTTTAAAATCTTCATGATAATCTACCCGTTATATCAGTTAAATAGCATCTCAATACGCCGTTTTTTACAATTATGAGTAACGCTACTTATTAATAACAGAATTTGTATTATGCTGATACATAACGTGTTTGTATTCTCAACATTAAGTTATGCTTGTCTGAAAAATGAAATAGCAAGCTCTATATATAAAATAACCACACTGGATGAAATAGGTCTTTGAATCTGCTGTCATATAACAAGCATTAATTATCAATATCGTACGAAATACGATGACACGCTACTTTACGCTAGAAATTTTCATGAGTTTTAATTGTAATCAGCTCAGTCAGTTACAACGTAGGACCAGGCACATATATGCATCGGTCCAAGTTACCACACATCATTAGCACAACAAGATGGACACCGGATTCATAAAAGTAGTTAATTCAGTGGTGGTAATATATAAAAGAAAGGTTGCATATAATGACATAGTACGGGAAGAAAGGGAAGACAGAGTGTCTACACCGACGCCATTGTGTTCGATCCTGGTCCATGTCACCAAGAGTCTCCAACCATTGGTTACGATAGTCACGCGGACCCCAACCACGTAGTCTGCACCTTCCAACATGGCTAAGACCGTTGTTACTACACTGACGTGGTGGTCGGGCTTGCCTATCGTGATGAAGCAACCGAGCTGTACTGGCAGGAACAATCGTTCCTCAAGGTCCTACCATGTCAGACAGGTCGGTTGAAGAGCGGTAAGACTAAAAGCAACAAACCCAAGGTCCGAAGGCGAAGTCGTACTGCTGACTGTACAGAGGTGTGACAGCAGTAAGGTGTTTCCTTCAGACAACCAGCATGACAGCAATGCTACCTTCCCACAAGGAGGGGTGGGGTTAGAAAAGGTCGACCCTAAAACTGCACACCTCGTCTTATCACACGGACATCCGTCTCCGTCGGTAGGGTCTCAACAAGTACGGAGCTAACACAAAAATTACCCATAAAAGAGTCGTGTGTGACTGACCTCAAGCAGTTGTCCCTTGGGCAGTGCGGTCACGCTCCCAGGTCACTAAGACCACCTCTAATCCAATTTCCTTTTCAGGTACCTCCAGAAGAACCCTTCCACGGTGTGGGCAACCGCGAAGTGATAACCGCCCTCATACCGCTAACAGCACTCAAGACCACATTGTAATCAGCTACCCCATAAATTGCTCTGGGGCTTAGAAACCTCATTCGTGATAGGGCATTTTATCAACTATCAGACGGTGCAAGTGATACATGTGGATAACAAACATCGCATTCTTATCAGACAAATATCGAATTCTAAATTATCACTAAATGAGAAGTGGATGTTGGATGACTAGCCATTGTGGTGACGTTTAATTATTGTAATCGAGCAAGTTTTTCTACCATTAGTATGTACTAAGCACAAAAACTGCATAGTACAACCAAGGATAATAAAAAGAAGCAAATACTTCTCAGGTAAAAAATAAATTGTATAAAGTAAAGACTAAAAAATCCACAATATTAAGCACTACAAATTAAGTTTAACAATAAGACGATTCAGTATACGTGCATACATTGTTTAGCACCAATCTTAATAAACGTTTGGGTCAAATTTACACATAGGTACAAATTAAAACGATTTATTACACAAATGAAAGGAGTTCTATATAAAAAAAGAGGAAATATCACATATACTGGAATAGTTTACACAATGGAGAGTTGGCGCAACGATGTTCATCAGATTAATAAAGTTTCCCCATACCTGCAAAACCGAGAGCAAAAAAGGGATGATGAGTGAACATAATAATAAATGATAAAAACATATCCTATACAATTGAATTTAACGTTGTATTCATCTAAAAAATTCACCATGGATAATTCACTGGGTAGATAATTGTTGAATTTAGTGTTATAAAGTGTGAATTTCGACGACAAGAATAGATTATCTGAAATGATATATGCAGCTCAATATCCCGTTGATTTGAACGATGAAAAGAAACTGACTTGTTGATAATGAAGAGAGTCAGTGTGTTGATATTATAAGAACAAGAAAATAATGAAAATTCCTGTTATGAATAAAAAAAGATAACCATTATCTGAGTTTAGTCAATTTTAATATAACTTTGAAGCAATACATTTGTATTTAGCTTCTGTAAAGCAAGGATTACAATGTTTATTGGTTGAATTCACACTGATTTATTTTCAACATGTACGAGTATACTTCAATATTCATTGATAAGAACATAAGGCCGAAAACATAATAACTCCAGTCGAAAAGAAAAAATTATACATGAACATCAACTTTAAATGTGATAGAGTTACAAACGTCTTAAAGAGGAAAATTTCTGATTATTTAAAAAGAGCGTTCTTCGCAGCAACATTGCGATTAGTCTTCTTTTGCCGATCATTGTTCATCAATAATCTTAAGGATAAATTATCTCATCTGACCAACTCAATGTTCATTTACCAATTTATCTGCTCATGTGGAGCTAGGTATATAGGTCATTCGATGAGTAATTTATCCAAAAGAATTCAAGAACATTACCCAGCTGGGTTAAGAAGAAGGGGAAACGGCTCAATAAAAAGTTTAATAATCAAACACCTTGTGAGCACAGGTCACTCAGCCAAGACGGACTCTGTGTAGAAGTCTTCCAAAGGCAGTCATATTGTATCTTCTTAACATTGCCGAAGCAATAGCCGTACATCTGGGGAAACCAGAACTGTGTGTCCAAAAGAGATTGGTACAACCTCTTCTTTTACCATGGTCTTAATGTCCCATAATTTTTTTCATACTCATCTTCCTTCACAGCCATCTGCTTTCCCTTCCATTTTCTCCTTAAACTTTTTACCCCCAACTGGTTTATTTCTGGTGTTATGATTTTCTTGATTACATTTAATCTCAATTTCAGCATTGTCTTATGATGCTGAGTCATCCTTTTACAACGATGACCTTCCTATCTACCTTTATGATGGATATTTAACCCCTTAACAGTCAAACTGTTATTTATTCGCCTTAAAGAGGAAGAATGTAGTTGTAAAATCTCAGCGAATGAATTTGAAGTAAATCCAACGTTTCACCTGGCAATCCGGTCCAAGCTTTCTCAAGGAAATTTAAAATATATTATTAATTCGCCTGTTTATAAAAAAATCCTACCTCACTGTTACTATGTCTAACAGAAGTCTATTGTCATTAATATTGTAATTATCATCCTGAAAAATAAGTATATATTTGCGATTGTAAAGCTTTGAAAATGAATTCGCTGAAAAGAGAATTCTTCGCTGAACCAATCTTTTTTATTTAATACTTTAGTTGACAAATCTAATTAATATTATCAATGTTCAGAGAGAGCGAGAGAAAAACAAGTAGAAAACCTATAAAAAGTTGAATACTGGGCCAGGAACGAACAGCCAAATCTAAATATATTTTATTATATAGATAAGAAAATAAATCAACTCAAATTTGAGCTTTGAAGTATCGATAATCAAAAAGTCTATTAGTTTACACTAACTAATAAAATATATTCTTAATTTAAAAGAAATCAATAAGAGTTAACTAAAGTTACGTAACTGTGTAATAACTAAAATTGTTCTTAAATTAATTTACTTAATCCACTTTGACTTGCTTCCTAGATTTGTTAATGGCAGCAGTACGTTTAGCCTTCATCTTTTGATCCACTTCTTGACGTTTTAATTCTTTAGCCAACTTATATGAACAATATGCACAAATTATCATGAGAGGTGTGAGGATTATTAATATTGATGTAAGAAATTCCCACGGGCTTTTAGCTACATATAATACGAACTGAAAAAACAGGAAACAAAAAGAACAATACGTACAATAATGCATCGAGAATAATCATAAAATTACAATTGTATGCTAAAGTCAGGGTGTTTTTGAGCTGGCAGGGATATAACCTATTCAGTTATGGTATCCTGTGTTACTGCCCCTGAAGAACAATTTGTTTCCAAGTACACATCTATCATATGAGCTCTTTAATTTGAAAAGATATGAGTTTCCGTTTCAGTCACATACCTGAGTATCTAATTAAATATACAAATGAATATGATGGAAATCCAACAACAGTATTTTACACACATTTGTGTATGGATGTAATTAAATGTGGAGCTTACAATGTAACTGAATGATCCAATTTGACGGCGATTTTGACTACAATATACATGAATTTTCGATTTAGTTGAAAGGTAGTAAAAATTTATAAATTTTCCAGAAAACTAGTTAGTAGTGATACACAATAGGAAACAAGTGAGACAGGTTATTTGACTCTTTTACTAGGGACCTGACAGATAGAGACAACAGGATCCTAGCCGGTGATGATTCACTTACAGCCTTAAAAGATAAAATTTAACCAATGTGCTATTACTTTATGATATCTACTGTCTGAAAGAGCTGTTTGAAGATCCGAAAACTGAGTTCAAATTTTTTAATGGAAATCAACAACCACTGTTAAGCAGGAACATCCATATGACGAATCCCAAATAAAACAAAATGTGCAGCTTAGGCTCCATTCTTGTATTCCATTATTAACATGTAATCAAGGTGTTAGCAAAAGATATTATACGTGAACTCTGCTTAATTGGTTTCGCGTGAAAAATCAAAGATTATCTCAACTATCAATTAAATAAATTTGACCAGCTGATTTTGTTAAGTCTTGTCGATTGGACGCTATATTCATTCCTAAGCTATTCTGATAACCCGCACGCTAGAACTATACAGCGACCTGAACACCAGAAAGAAGACGCAAAAGTATGAGAGAGACACTTTACTCCAAGGTTAGATTTTGTAGAGAAAACATGGGTATTTATAGATGTTAACGTTTGTTAAATCAGACTTCGTACTAGATAAAACGTTTTTCTGTTAGCATCAAATAGTATTTTGTAAATAGTCCACTTAACAAGATGAATAGTCAAAAATTTTGTATTGAATGACTAACGCTGAACACTAATCCCAGTAAAACAACACAAGCATTCAATGATTTTATGCAACTAATTGAAACAACTCAGTTTCAGTAAGGACTACATAAGTCGTGCCTTAAGAAACTAATTATTACTACCGTCGTGTCTGCTGACAAATGAAAGAAAGCTGATTTTCATTGATAATATTACTTAATAATGATAGCAGATGCAATCAAATTACTCTAAACTAGTTGTAATACAATTATTCTGTTTTGAAGAAATATATAAAGACCTATATGATTCGAAGAAAAAAATAAGGTAAGATGAGCAGGTGAAAATGAATTTCACACAAAAGATAAATGAACTAGATTCAAACTATATTATTTTGGAAAACCAATTCACTAATATTGTATGAATAAGAATGCTGAAAAAAAGTAATTGGTCTACACTAACCTTTAAAGACATATAGGAAAACCAATCAGACCAATTATCTGGAGAGTGACCTAAATCAATATTATTTAATTTGTCCAAACTGTCTCCTTCAAGAGGTTCTGATGGATGATCATTCATCTAAAATGAAATAATAAACAAAGAGTTATATTTAGAAATCGGAAAGACATTTGAGAATTCCATATACGAATAATTGGTATAAACTTGATATATCTGAGCGCTACCCATACTTACTATCTCTAGTTATCTACTGGATTGAAAACAATACATACAGAAATGATAAATTAGGGTAACAATGGGATATTTTAATAAAAATGAAAACATGATATAACTTATGGAATCGGATGATAATTACATTTATTACCTTAAGGAAGCTATAGATTTCGCCCGGACTGTAAAAATCTGGTAAAAAGAAAAGGCTTCAAATCTGTCTTTGCTCAGACCGGGTCCCTAATAAACATCTATATCGAATAAATTTTCAGAGACCAAGGCACAAGTTTGCTTTATCGGTAAAGTGAATGAAGAATGGCAGTTGATGAGAGGGATTACAATAATGCTGCATTCTATAAGCTAGATGGCTTAATTCTAAACTGAAATGGAAGTAAACTTATTTCTTAATCTAGGGAAATTACTGAAATCTCCTAGAAATGTGTTCAAGCACAATAATGAGATATGAACTTTCAACAAAAATGTTAATCAGTAAAACTGGCGGAATTTTATTGCTACTCTCAATAAATGCACTAACTATCACAATACAGATAGATACCAACACAAAATAAATTCAGTTGAATAAAAGTTAAAAAAGCAATCAATAAGTAGATTATTTATTTGCAAATAATGTGTTATGTACAATTTACAAAAGCATTCGCTCAGTAAAAAATCGTTTCAACATTTCTAAGCAAGATGAAAGAAATTATCCGCTAACTTTTCATCCTCAGGTAAGAAAGTAACTGGACCAAAATATCTTTTATTAAATAAGCTAAGGATATGAAAGGCAGCACGTTTAATATCAGGTATAGCCATCTTTTGAGTGATATTACTTTTAAATAACTCATCTGAAGTTTCTATTTCATTAGGTAACCAACTTGGTTTAGATACAGTCAGGAAAAATTTGTTTTTAAAGCACACGCTGATCAATAATTCGTTAACATCAGTGGTAGGACCAGGTAAATCAAAAAGAGAAACGTATTCTGTACGTTGACGACGATTCAACCAAAATAACAAGTAATCCACTAGTACTTCTAAAAGTTTAAGGCCAAATAAACAGGAATTCAATTTTAAAAATGAGTTGAAACAAATAAGCAGTGACTGGAAAATATAAGAAATAAAAATATTCTTTCTTACTTAATTTTATCCTACTAAAAGGTGAATTGATAGTATTGCTACAACTGAATTATCAAATCAACAAGGTGCTAAGTAACTAAACCTAGTTCTCAGGGAAAGCACTTTTCAAATTACTTGGTGTGGAACAATCATCTATGATACACTAATCAACGACAAGCAAACAAAACGATGATTTGGGAAAGTGCAGCTTGAAGCATAATTGAATCATCTGGATAATCGGCTACTACTTGCATCAGTTAATGTCTACCCGGAACAGATTTATTTCTGAAATAAATTTAAGGTTAGACATCTTATACATGATATACTGAACCAAATGTGTAATAGTGAGTAAAGATATGCAAAGATACTACAGGTTTCACAAAATTCCAGTTAGTTAACTAGTTAACATATTTTATCTCCAACGAGAAATGCAAAACACTTCACTAATCATTAAATGGTCAGGATACTTTAACGCCACATTATCCTTCATGATCAAACCTAAGTCTTTCATGCTACTATCTGTCAGACTTATTGTTAAACAAACCTTCACACTCATTAAAAACATTGGGTTCAACCACAGTCGTATGTTTCAAAAACACCCTATGTCAAAACATATATAACTCGTCGACCAGAAATCAAGTACCTAAAATCACCATGTAGTCAAGTAACCACAACGCTATAGAGAATGTGTTACCGTTTACCTGACCTATTAGGACTAGTTTCAATATAACCTGAATCAAAAGTCTACAAGTCTTAAATCAGTGAATCAAACTTTTAAAATTAAACCTTGTTATAATTTAACTTGTTACGATCAAGCTACTCTTAATGCATAGTAGTCGTGGACACTAATTCACTTGTCAGTCAGACAGCTACAACTTAGGACCAGGCACATATATGCATCGGTCCAAGTTGCCATACCTCATTAACACAACAAGATGGACACCGGATTCATAAAAGTAGTTAATTCAGAGGTGGTAATATATAAAAGAAAGGTTGCATATAAGGACATAGTACGGGAAGAAAGAATTAGTTCGTAGAAAGAAATATATGAAGCGATTTTAATCTCTTAGTTTGAGGGAAGGCAGAGAGTGTATACACCGACGCCATTGTGATCGATTCTGAGCCATGTCACCAAGAGTCTCCAACCATTGGTTACGATAGTCACGCGAACCCCAACCAACTAGTCTGCATCTACCAACATGGCTCAGACTAGAAGTTAGTGACTTTAGGCACTGATACCACGTTTTGGCTTGGCCGCCCCTAACTTTCCCTCAACCATCCCGAACACCGGTTAGCATTGCACGTCGTGGTAATCGGTGTTCGGGCATACGTACCACGTGGCCCAACCATCTCAGTCGATGAAGATTCACAACCTCATCAACTGATTTACCATCATCCCTAATACCCTGCGTCTAACCTCATTATTACTTACCCAGTGATCCCAGCAGACGCCAGCAATATTTCTAAGGCATCTGTGGTCAAATACTAGTAGCTAACGAGTGTCTTCTACTCTTAATGGCCATGTCTCGCTGCCGTAAATTAAAACAGAACGGACTGCCGCGCAGTATACTCGTCCGTTAATTGATAGACGGATATCTCGCCTTCGCCATAGGTGACGTAAGTTGGCAAAAACCAAGCGAGATTATCGAATCTGTGCAGAGATGTTGTCAGACACCAACACATTAGGGCTGATCAGACTTCCAACATAAGTTAAGTTGTCAGCGCGTTCGACTACTTCACTACCTATCCTTAGTTCTGGTGTTGACGCAGACCAGTCCTGAAGCGACAACTTGCACTTAGAGGGAGAGAAGCACATTCCAAACATCCTGGCATTGTTGCTCAGTGCTACAAAGGACTCTGCGTTTTATCAGCGTCTTCACCAAACAGGACTATATCATCTGCGTATTCTAAGTCGATAAGTGGACCTCCTGGAAGGAGATCAATACCCGAGAGTTCAGTCGACGAGAATTTTATTTCCATCAGTAGGTCTATGATGAAGTTAAATAAAAATGGAGAAAGTGGATAGCCTTGACGGACACACTTGAGGTTTCAAAAGCAGATGACAGTTCGCCATAAGCTCTCACTTGACTAGCAATGTTCGAGTAAAGAGCCTTCACAAGGTTTATGTACTTCTGAGGTACGTCCTCCAATGACAGATACTGCCGATAAGTATGCCTGTGTTCTAGAAACTGACGAATGGTGAATATGTGGTCGATGCAGCCACGACCACGTCTGAAGCCAGCTTGATTCCCTCGTGTTCGCAGTTCACGAGTCTTAGTTAGGCGTCTGATAATGGTCGAGGCTAGTATTTTAGATACTATATTAGTTAAACTAATCCCTCTATGGTTGTCACATGATGATTTTAACCCTCTCTTATATATTGGGACGATCAGTGATTGTGACCACTCAGATGAGATTACTTTCAATTCCCAGATTTCAGCTAAAACATTAGTCAACCTGATCGCTAAAATTTGACCATCATACTTCAAGACATCTGGAGCCAATCCATCACTACCAGTCGCTCTTCGCCATGTTACAGCAGACGATCACCATTATCTGTTTGTTAAGACGGAATACAAAAATACCCACCTAAATGCCTTTTTGTTTGGCTTAAACTACCTATCTGGGCATTAAAGTCACCTGCTACGAGTACTATGTCTGAACGTTTAGATTTCTGTAAAATTCATCTTTCACCTCATCTGAGCTGGAGTCGGTGGGAGCGTAGGCAAAAACGACAAAAAGGCAACGACGTGTAACCCTATCCTTCCAAGTTCTTACGGAGCCGTTTAGCCGAACAAAACAAAAACGACTGTTAACGGGAATCCACTCTAATAGTGCTTGTTGTTCCCTCGCACTTAGTGTTATGCCTACATCTGTCAGTCTACGAGAACTAGCCATCGGGTCGCCAGATACACGGAGGGTGTATCTCGTTGGCTCTCCGTTTTGTCGAGGTGAGGTCAAGTGAAAGACCACACTGGGATCCTGTATGCGTGTTTCAGAGACACAGTATACATCAATGGTACGAGATTCTAGGGTTTTAGCCAAGGAAGCCTGTTGACCGATTTGACATAGGGTGCGTACGTTGAAGGATCCAATGTGTAGTTTGCAGCGATGGTTCAGTAGACCTGGGACAGTGTTTTGCGCACTGGAATCGTTGGCTATCGTGACACTTGAGGGAGAAGCCGAAAAAGGAAGTTTAGAGGTGAAAGTCGATGTAGGAGGAATAATACGAAGTGAAGACGGAGGTTGATTATGAATACAATGGTCTTGACTGCTGTTAGAGGTATGAGGGCGGTTATCACTTCGCGGTTGCCCACACCGTGGAAGGGTTCTTCTGGAGTTACCTGAAAAGGAAATTGGATTAGAGGTGGTCTTAGTGACCTGGGAGCGTGACCGCACTGCCCAAGGGACAACTGCTTGAGGTCAGTCACACACGACCCTTTTATGGGCAATTTCGTGTTAGCTCCGTACTTGTTGAGACCTTACCGCCGGAAACGGATATCCGTGGGATAAGGCGAGGTGTGCATTTTTAGGGTCGACCTTTTCTAACCCCACCCCTCCTTGTGGGAAGGTAGCATTGCTGTCATGCTGGTTGTCTGAAGGAAACACCTTACTGCTGTCACACCTCTGTACAGTCAACAGTACGACTTCGCCTTCGGACCTTGGGTTTGTTGCTTTTAGTCTTACCGCTCTTCAACCGACCTGTCTGACATGGTAGGACCTTGAGGAACGATTGTTCCTGCCAGTACAACTCGGTTGCTTCATCACGATAGGCAAGACCGACCACCACATCAAGGTAGCAGCAACGGTCGGGATTCACTCGGCAAATCCCCAAATCAGAACACGGTTGAACAGGAACGAAGACTGCATTCCAAATAACATGGGTAGATGGAAGCAGGGATTTCAATAAGAAAAACGTTAGTATATTTATAGTTTTTACTTGTGAAGATTCTAGAGTCTTCTACAAGCATTCGCTAGCGCTGATTGGACAAGAAGTAGCCAATCAGCGTGCTCGAACACAAATCTGCACGCAACGTGCTTTAAATTAATCTATATTTGTCTAACACATCTGTCCCCAAGTAATTGGTGAAAAAAAAATTTATGAGTTAAAGGGTCACGGTTTTTCATTTTCTTAATCAAACTCTAGATTACTTAAAATTAAATGACCACTACATGCAAGAGAGAGAAAAATGCAACTAAAATAAATTAGGAGCTTTTTTATTAGAAAATGAATTATTACCTGGTTGAAGAGATGAATAATCCACAGCTCCACAAACACAAAGACTAAGTCGTTCACTTAAAGTTCGAGCACGAGGCTCTAAGATACCAGGTGTATCAAACACCTGAATTTTGTAGTCAGTGAGACCCATTACACTGTCATCAATATCATCCGATATATGACTTGAGTTTCCTCTGTACAAAATGATCGGATGACCCACAGAACGAGTTTGACCAGCTGTGCGTCCAACTCTTGCTGCACCCCCAGGACCTCCCTGCCCAATACTTCGTAGAACATTAATCAGTGTACTTTTACCACTATTTGGAATACCTAAGACCATAACTGTTATAACTGAATTGGCAGGATGCCCTGAGGTAGTAGCTAAATGAGGTAAACTATAATATAAAAACAATAATAAAATAAATCAAAATTGAACCGAAGAAAAACAAACTTCTCAAGATTATTCTTACAATTGAAATTTTATCAATGTATCATGCCAAAGCTATCATTTTGTGAAGTATTCAAGCTTCTTTAAGTTAAAACACAAAGACTAGTCTACCAACCTGGACATCAGTCGTTTCAAAATCCCCTTCTGCTTTTCAGGCGCGTTAAGCTGAGTATAGTATACTTCAAGTGGACCACGTTTAATAATACGTGATTCCTCAACAATTCGATTTGTATGAGCCTGCCGATCACTAATTGGTTCGGCCAAGTCAATTTTGTTCATCAACAAAATTGTAGGACGATTCTATATAAAAATACAATTAAATTTTAAAATCAGCTATACGAAACGCAGTGGATAGCATAAATTTATGGCTAGGGTGAGACATCTTGAAAATAGTGCCAAAAACATGTAATTGAAATAATTTTGGCTGAAAAACTACATTTCCAGTCAATTTTAGTGTTTTCAACAATCTAATGAGTATGTTGGAAGAATGAATAAGTTCATTCTTAAATAAATTCTGCCTGAGACTACATCCAGTAGTTTTCCATTTACTATTGTTTGAAACTAAACAGCTTTCTAGTGTGCACACGACATGAATATCATAGGTCGGATTTATTAATATACTTAGATTACCTCTGTAGGCTTGGCAATTTTACAGCATATCTGCGCTACCTTTATTTCCACACAGTGTTTGAAGTTAAAAATGAACTAAGCATTGTAAATACTCCCAGTATATCCCTCAGTAGTGGACAGGCAGTACAATGCAAAAGCTTTTACACAGAAGAATCAATGTAAACTGTTACCCAATAGAATGATCAGATTGACAAAATGAGATGGGAAAACAGGAAAATATGATTTGAGAGATTAAAAAAAGGTTGTGAATTATCGACCATAGTGTTCAAGACCAGTCACAATAAGTATTCATTGACCCAGGCTGTCACACTACACAACCACAAATATGAAATTAAAAAAGGATAAATAACAATTGAGTCGAATAATAAGGTCTATGACCGTGAAAAAAGATTAAACATGAAGAATATGCAAAACTGAAGTCAACTCAATCACATCAATAAAAAAAGTATTTCAAAATGATGGAGATTTGTAGCTCAGGTAAATACATTTGGCTACGTGTTTTCTGAGCTGATAGGTTTAATTGGAAGTTAGTTATCAGTCATCATAAACACATATCCTGGTGGATATGTGAGCTGGCCAACGTTGTCACACAATATTATCACAATATGAAATTAGCAAGATGAATGGCGAAAGCCAGTGAAAAGGCATGAAAAAATACTGGAAGTCAAGAATGTGGGAAAGCCAGACAGTGAATCCATATGAGTCACGGTGGATGATTTTAAGGTATATCACCCAACACACCCCCAACCAGGTAGTCTGCATCTATCAACGTAGCTCAGACCAATAGTCTATGACTTCATGGACTGATCCCATGTTTTATTTGGGTCGCTCTTGGTTTTCTTTTAACCTGACTTCATACCACGAAACATGCCCCGTCGATGTGATTGGGAATACGTAACAAATGTCTTTACCACCCCAGTCGATGATGACTTATAAAGCCACTAACCGATTTGCCAAGTTTACTTAGCAACCTATGCCTAACCTCAACATTACTCATCCACTAATTCCACGAAACGCTTTAAAAACACCCATGATCAACATCATGCAGCCTATCCAAGTATTCTACTTTGTAAACCAAGTTTTACAACCATAAGGTTATGCAAAGCGGACTATCGCACAGTATACACTCGGCTACTCCACAAGTGACCCAGGTTGGCAAAGGCCAAGTGAGCTTTCTGGATCCATCCCGAGACATAGATACCAACCCACCGGGCCTGATGAGACTTCTAGGATAAGTGAAGTAGTCAATACGTTAAGCCACTTTAATCTTTATCACTGGTTAAGTTGACGGACTAGTGTTAAGACATTTTAGATTTAGAGGGAGAGAAACTCATCCCAATAAATAAGACTATGTCATCTTTGTATTCTAAATCGATAAGTAAACCTCCTGATAGGATATTACCCTTAAAAAGTTAAGTGGAAAAGCGTCATCTGCAGGGAAACTACCATGACATAATCAGATTGATTGAGAAGCTGTATAACATCATCGGCGCTTTCTTCACGTAGAAGTGAACTGTTTGGTTAACACAAAATGCTGATTTTACATTGATGTTTTCCAGAACGATAACAAAAGCATTGCAATAAAACCACCCAGCTCAGAAAATACAACATAAGCAAATATAAGAGAGCATTTCCAACACGAATGGTAACAGAAGAATGAGTCAAGGAACAAGTGAATCGATTAAAATGAACGCTTATAAAGATCTCATAATCTCTTTAACTTTGAATGTATGCTGACAGATATAAAAGTCACCAAATAAGTTACTCCTAACTAACTCAAAATATAAAGAACTCATAAATAAATATTGTGAACTAATATAAAAAGACCGAATACTATGAAGGGCTCCATAAAGGATTAAGAGTCGAAATAAGCTACAACTCAATCGAACACTTTCACGCAACAAAATACACTAAGACTTTCAATAAAGAAAACCCAGAAATCTACACAGTGAAATAAACAGACGGTGTTTGAAACTAGAGTAGTTAACATGCCATAAGTATAACGTTTGCATTAGCCAAAAAGATAATACCCAATAGTCTTAGGTTAGTCAAAGGACACTGAACGAAATGCTTGTGAAATGTCCCAAACACTGGGGATATATCGAAGGAACCTTTAACGCTGCGAACAATACTTCATTAGCTGGCTCACTGCTTTAATATATTTTACTTAACTGTCTTGTGTTCATAACCCAAGGCAGATCTACCCACTTACTAGGGGAATCTGAGAAAGCGCCGAGTATTAAAGCACTACAAGTTGCTCTATATTGAAATTACCAAACACTTTCAAACACTAAGTTCCAACCACAGTTGCATTTCTTGACATCAAGACTACCTTTCGTTTATTGGACAGGAAAATGTGGTGAGTCAACCAAAATCGCGAAAACCCTGTCAAAAAAACCCTAAGTAGAAATGCCGAACCTCACTAGCTTACTTTTGTCACATAGGATTCTTGAAATGAATTTATAAAAAGATTGTATAGTGATGTAAACTCAACAAATAACGATGACCAAAAAAAACATGATGTTATCGTACTAGGGAAAAAGTAAAAAGTAGTAACTTGGTTTTGAATCAAGTGGAGACAAGCACCATGAATTTGGTATTTGCTTCACATTGTTAGTGTGAAATGCTTTTACAGGATTGTGTGTACTTGACTCTGTATTACAGAAAAGATTTTATCAAGGTGTCAAAGTGGGAAGTGGTCAAATTTTATTTACTTAAACACATAAACATTGGTACAATGAGGCACCAAATAGATATGCGCCACATAAATCATTCGATTTATGTAAGGACTGGGATACTTCCCGGGTGCCCAAGCCGAAACAGGTGGTTTTCTTAGGAGGCTTATCCCCGAGCGTTTGACCTGAAGGTTTAATCTACAAGGCGGTGGAGCAACGTATGAAATTGCAGTCTCATGGTAGCCAGTGACCAGCAATGGTTTAATGCGCTATTTGTTTCCTTAGGATCATGGAGATCATGTACACCATTGGTTTGGAATCATGGTTTTCCGACTCCTTTAGGTGGATCCTCCGTGTCAGCCAACCCGGTTAAAGCGCCGGACACTCACTTTTCGTCTTCTCAATTTCATAAACAACAGTAACGTCTTGAGAAGGCAGTGAGTAGGACTTCTCTGGCAGTGATTGCATGAACGTGGTCATTTGAGAACATTTCGAGAGGTGACTATCCCCACTCTCTGCCGTACCAGGGCATTTGAAGGCAAAGAGGCCAAATAATTAACATGAAACTTAATATTCTTAATCATAGAAACGGATAGGTTTCTTGGTGATACCTAGACACTGCACACGGACTCGAATTCTAAAATGCAAGAAAATTTCTAAAAAAAATGACTGGTTTGCTTACCAACTCAAACTTCTGAAAAATCTCAGGTCTACCGGAGAAAGGTATCCTTGCGTCGTGAACTTCGATAATGACATCAACAAGTGGCATTTTAGAATGAATAACATCCATGCCTTTACGCATATGCCCTGGGAACCATTGAACTGCTTGTTGACCAATATACCGAACTCTCTCTGATTTACAAGAAATGTTTCCGAAACTTTCTGAAGAAAACAATCGTTGCAAAACTGATTTTGAAGCATATCTTTGGTAACTAAAAACCGTTGGCATGGTGACAAGGATCAAACCTTGAACTAAAAAGACCAGAATCGCTTTTATCAAAATAAGCCCCAAATGAAGGCAATAGATCCCCAGGTGGTTCACAGTCTACAGTACGGAAAACAAAAATAAGTGTACATTTTCAATAAGTAACATTTTCAAATGACTTGAAACGGGATAAGTATTTTGAGGTTTAGAATAAGTGCATTGCTTATTCTTTTGAGTTAAGGTGTAAGGCATTATCTTTATTACAAAGAATATACGATGTCTAAATTCTAATTTGGGTTTCAATTATTGAAATGAAGCAATATGATGATAAGTGAAAAAAAGTATAGGACCTATTCAGCCAAGACGATCTAGTAACAAGAGAGACAATGTCATATGGACAAAACGATGTGAACTTATTATTTGGTTGAGAAGGAAGATTTGGGGATTTTTAAGTCTCAATTTATTGATTTTATTTATTTATTTGGACACATAAATATTGGTACAAGAGGGCACCAAATATATATGCGCCACACAATACAATGAATTTGAAGAGAAGGAAGAAAAAATTAAGGAGCGTAAAAAAAAGAACAATAACGAACAGATTAGTGTAAGGTAGTGTAATAATAATAATAATAATAATAATAATAATAATAATAATAATAATAATAATAATAATAATAATAATAATAATAATAGGGGAAACAGAAACGTACAATCAGAAGAGATCTTTCAGTTAAGGAAGATACAACCACTTTTTATGAAGACAGTAAAAGGTTACAGCAGAATCGCCACTGGCTCCTATTCTGAGCCATATCTGATAACGTCTCTAGCCACTCTGTCGCACCATCTCTAGGACCACAGCCAGGGAGTTACGAAGGACTAACAGAAGCCAGTCCTTTGCAGCTTTCTTCAATACTACGACACCATGTCATACACTGACCACCTCTCTACTTTCTCCAACCAGTCCCAGCGTCGGAAAATAATGCACGACGTGGAATTCTCTAGGACGACGTTCGTAGAACATGTCCAAGTCACCGAGGTTGGTGTTTCAAGATGGTGACACTAACTGCATTATCGTCTCTGTGCCCGAACACACGATGCCGAACCTCTGCATTACTAACACGGCGTTGCCACTGGATGTCAATTATGGAAAATACTTTTCCTGCTTCGATTAACAATCAAACGATTCACATTACTATTATTTAAGTCTCAAACTCGTGTAAAACAAGAGTTCACAACGAGAGAATGTGTAATTATTTATGGCACGGATGTACTAATTAGAAAACTGAATACAAAATACAACGTAGCCTCAACACTGGAAGAATCCACATAAGTTTCACAAAAGTATGTCTACTAATAGTGTGCATACTTTTACTTCGTAAGAAACAACAGTGTACGCAACAGGTGGTTAGATATAAAACCAACGGGAAAACTAATATAAAATGAAGTAGTCCAAGTTCCCAAACTTTATAATGAAAACTCAGTTCAGTATAAACAAAAAAGTAATGCCAAAAAATAACCTATCTGTTCTATCTTGTCTAAATATGGCATTCTCAACAGCCGTCTCATACTACAAATAACGTCTGTCAGTCAGTCAGTCAGTAACAACGTAGAACTTCGTACGTACGTACATCAGTTCGAGTTGTCATACCACATTAGCACAGAGATTCAGTTGTCGATTCAAATCCTGTAGTGGTAGAGGTAGTAAGAGTATAAGCAGTAATCGGAAAGATTAGGGTTTGCAGATGTTATTTAAAGAGTTTAATCCAGTGAAATAAATTTGGGAAGAGAAAAAGAGACAAGGAGGAATCAGGAGATTAGAATTTGGGAGAACACAAAGAGTGGATGCACCTGCGCCATTACAACCGATTTTGAGCAATGTCATTCAGGGTCTCTAACCATCGGTTGCTATCATCTCGCGGTCCCCAACCAGGTAGTATACACCTACCAACATGACTCAGTTCACTTGTCAGTGACTTCATGAACTTGTGCCATGTTTTGGTCTGGCCGCCCCTAGCTTTCTTCCAACATACTCCTGTACCACTGAACATAGCACGTCGAGGCAGTCGGTGGTTGGGCATATGTAACACGTGTCCCAGCCATCTCAACTGATGAACTTTCACCACTTCATCAATGGATTTGCCATCCTTACCTAGTACACGTTTTCTAACAACTGCATTACTTACCCCATGATCCCAGGATATACGAGCAATGTTTCGAAGACACCTATGATCGAATACTAGTAACCTACGAATATTATCTACTCTTACCGGCCACGTTTCACTGCCATAAAGTAGGACAGAACGAACTGCTGCGCAGTAAACACGCTCTTTGGTTGATAGACGGATATCTCGCCTACACCATAAATGGCGCAAGTTGGCAAAAGCTAGTCGAGCCTTTTGTATCCGTGTTGAGATTTCGTCACACACCAAACCACAAGGGCTAATCAGACTTTTAAGATAAGTGAAGTGGTCGACAAGCTCAACCACTTCACTCCCCGTCATCAGTTCAGATGTCGATGAAACCCAATATGTAGCTGCATCCACCACATATTCACCATCAGTCAGGTTCTAGAACATAGGCATACTTATCGGCGTACGACAATGGTGATCTTTCTTGACCTAAAAGCAGCATTTGACTTGGTAGCCCGCGAGATTCTGTGGCATTGTCTGTCATTGAAAGGCGTACCTCAGAAGTACATAAACCTTGTGAAGGCTCTTTACTCGAACACTGCTAGTCAAGTGAGAGCTTATGGCGAACTGTCATCTGCTTTTGAAACCTCAAGTGTGTCCGTCAAGGCTATCCACTTTCTCCATTTTTATTTAACTTCATCATAGACCTACTGATGGAAATAAAATTCTCGTCGACTGAACTCTCGGGTATTGATCTCCTTCCAGGAGGTCCACTTATCGACTTAGAATACGCAGATGATATAGTCCTGTTTGGTGAAGACGCTGATAAAACGCAGAGTCCTTTGTAGCACTGAGCAACAATGCCAGGATGTTTGGAATGTGCTTCTCTCCCTCTAAGTGCAAGTTGTCGCTTCAGGACTGGTCTGCGTCAACACCAGAACTAAGGATAGGTAGTGAAGTAGTCGAACGCGCTGACAACTTAACTTATGTTGGAAGTCTGATCAGCCCTAATGTGTTGGTGTCTGACAACATCTCTGCACAGATTCGATAATCTCGCTTGGTTTTTGCCAACTTACGTCACCTATGGCGAAGGCGAGATATCCGTCTATCAATTAACGGACGAGTATACTGCGCGGCAGTCCGTTCTGTTTTAATTTACGGCAGCGAGACATGGCCATTAAGAGTAGAAGACACTCGTTAGCTACTAGTATTTGACCACAGATGCCTTAGAAATATTGCTGGCGTCTGCTGGGATCACTGGGTAAGTAATAATGAGGTTAGACGCAGGGTATTAGGGATGATGGTAAATCAGTTGATGAGGTTGTGAATCTTCATCGACTGAGATGGTTGGGCCACGTGGTACGTATGCCCGAACACCGATTACCACGACGTGCAATGCTAACCGGTGTTCGGGATGGTTGAGGGAAAGTTAGGGGCGGCCAAGCCAAAACGTGGTATCAGTGCCTAAAGTCACTAACTTCTAGTCTGAGCCATGTTGGTAGATGCAGACTAGTTGGTTGGGGTTCGCGTGGCTATCGTAACCAATGGTTGGAGACTCTTGGTGACATGGCTCAGAATCGATCACAATGGCGTCGGTGTATACACTCTCTGCCTTCCCTCAAACTAAGAGATTAAAATCGCTTCATATATTTCTTTCTACGAACTAATTCTTTCTTCCCGTACTATGTCCTTATATGCAACCTTTCTTTTATATATTACCACCTCTGAATTAACTACTTTTATGAATCCGGTGTCCATCTTGTTGTGTTAATGAGGTATGGCAACTTGGACCGATGCATATATGTGCCTGGTCCTAATTTGTAGCTGACTGACTGAATCCTGAAGCAACATTTTGCATTTCGAGGGGGGAGAATCGCATCCTGAACATGCTTGCATTGTTGCTTAGAGTGATCAGAAGACTGCATTTTGTCAGCGTTTTTCACCAAATAGAACTATGTCATCGGCATATTTCAAGTAAACAAGTGAATCTCCTAATAGAAGTTCAACCCCTGGAAATTTAGATGACGAAAGTGTTATCTCTAAAAGAACGTCAATGACAAAGTTAAACAAGAATGGAAAGCGTGGACAGCCCTAACGAACACCACTTGAGGTAATCAATTCTGATGACAGTTCGCCATAAGCTCGCACTCTACCAATTGTGTTCGAGTAGAGAGCCTTTACAACGTTAATGTACTTCTTTGGTACTCCTTTCAGTGACAAACACTGCCGTAGAACCTCACGATCAACAAAGTCGAATGCTGCTTTAAGGTCGAGAAATACTACGATCGTGAGGCGTCCGAACGTGTGTCTGGTCTTTATAACCTCTGTAGGCTAGAGTTGAGTACGTAATAACTTAGTTGGTCGATTGCTCCAGCCCGTTCACTCTAATTCGGCAAATCACTGCAAACTTTTGGGAAATTGAGGTGATATTCAGCGAAACGTCTAGGGCGATATAGCGTTTCTAACACATCGGTTGGCCAGTGTCCCAACCGATTGAAGCACTCAAAAAGGCATTGATCGATAATGAATAAAATCTTATATTTATCTCTACTATAGAACACTATGTTCCACAGAAACGGTTGCACCGTTTAGAAACATTAAGAAAACTAAGTACTTATAGGCAAAAAGGAATATGTATTCGTACCCTGCCTCAAAAACTTGTAACCTCAGTAACCGTACAGATGAGATTGCTACAAACTGTATCTGTATTACCGACTGCCAATGGATGGAATAAATCGTAGGTAACACACTAAAAACAAGAGAGACATGTGGATCTCAGAAAATCTTCAGAAAGCATCCAAAGAATCCGATCACACTGTACACACCAAAGTCAAACGGCGGCAAAATTACTGGTGCGTTCAAACAGTTCGAACGGTTCTTGACGGAATGTAAGAAGCTTTCACTTAACACGATTACGCGTCTAGTAGCAGTGGATCACCGATGCCTCCAAATAGGAACTTAAACATATTCAATGATGAAAGAGAAATAGCAAATAGTAAATCATAGCGTGGTACTGTGCTTAGTCCTTAAGAATATGTCAAGTTTCTTCATAAAGGACTCCTACGAAGTCGTTAGAATTGGCCCACTCAACAGTGGGTTCCAGAATTTGACTGCTCGTATGGAATAAAAGGTGTGTCCTCAGTCCGTTCTGCTGTGTTGTGTTGCTAACTTCTGGGTGTTATCCCTAAGGTTTGTATTTGGACTGAACTTAAGTAGGTATTTAATGGGACGCACATGATTGTTTATGATGCTCCAATTTATTGAGAAATCACTTCTAAGACGCTTTTACTCTGATGGATGGAGATTCAGTGATTTTTGATGCTCTTCATAAGGCTTCAACTTGAGTCCCCGAACCGATTTCGTGGCTTGTCTCTGTATCCGTTCCAATATATTCTTATCCCCTTTGAATTAAGGGAGGAAATATTGTGTTTCCATACTCTAAATGGAGCCGAATAAAACTGCTGAAGATTAGACGTAAAGTTTTACCGTCGAACTGGCCGAAAATGTGCCTCAACGTCCTCGGTGCAAGGTTTGCTCGAAAGGTATTTTTGTCACGGTCCACGTAAGACTTCAGATCATAGGGTACCAACAGTCATAGATGTTTTTCAATTCACGATTTGCTTAGGATGGAGCTATCTTTATTGTGTGTTTAGTCTGCAATATGTCTCAGGTGGACTATTCTACACCTTTATCTGTTAAATGTAAGCCCGTTGTTACCAGTCAAACTTTGAATTCTAGTCAGATCCTGCGGAAATACAGGCTAATCACCTTGGTTGTAAACTTCTCTCCAGAGTTTTACATCATGAGATATATTAAATCAGACTATGCCCATTGGGATTGGTCATTTATTTTAACTAAGAAGTGGTGAGGTCACAGAACTGAACGCTGAGAGACCCAGCTAGGACATTCCATAGCCTGAGAAAAAGTGAAATTTTGTAAGATTGTAATTTTTGGACGAACCAATAAGATATAAGAAAGCAGGTTTCGGATTTGGGCGCAAAATATACTCATCGATTTGGCAAAATAGAGTTTCTCCATTATAGCTGATTTCAGTTCGTGATGAAACCCCTAAATATAATTCCTTACTTTAACCATCAACTTCGAATCTTAATTTGAAGTTCTCACACAAGTTTATAACCCTCATTTTGTCCTACATATTAGGTGGATACTACCAAGGTCAGTCAAGAGTCACTCAAAAGTCCTCCATAAATTGTAATCTCACCTTAAATTCATCCTGACTCCATAACGTCGGTTACTTAGATATGAAGTAAATCAATCAATTAACGGTAACCTGGTGCCTGTTTAGCTTAAGACATATGATTGACCCGATCAAAAGCTTTGAGAAGGCAAAGAATATGACACCGACCTTCCCCTTGGGGTCGACGACGATTGTCTGCCTGTCCACAGCAGTTGGCAAGTTGGTTATACGAGAGAGACCCTTCCTGAAAAGGGTGTTGTCGAGGTGATAAGAAGTTCATAGATGGCAAATAGTCACCCCGTTAATATTAAGGTCATCGTTCAGTATGCCATAAGCCAATATTAGATCACCCCGTATTCTACGGTAAGATAACGGAAATAAGTTGAGGTGTCTCAGTTTGTCTTCATAAGATAGGCCAGACAGACATTGTACTATCTTAGTACCTCGTTGTTGAACTGTTTCCAGCATATCTGCTTCATACTTGAAACAAGGACTCACTGCTTGAATCCCATATTCTAAATGTGGTCGCACATAAATCGGGTATAATAATTTAGATATTTCATCATCTAAACACTGGAAAGACCTACGAATAGACCATAATACCCTATAGCCTTTCTCAGCAGCAGCCTTACAGTGACTAGTGGTTTGGAGATCACTGCCTAATATGACTCCTAAATCCTTATACTTTCTTACTTTGGGTAGCACGAATCCTCATATTGTGTAGTGATACGAATTATCATAGTTATTTTATTGCATCATCACACTCTATTAACCCTTATCCTATGTCTCCTATCGCGGAGAAAGTTACTTATCCAATCTACGACTGTATAATGGATTCCAAAACGTTCCAGTTTGAATTTAAGATCAGAACGAGAGACTTTATCGAAGGCATCACTTAGATCTATGAAGATCACCTCCACTGGAATATTCCGATCTAATGTTGCAGCCCAATCTTCTCTTGCAATTGGAAGGTTTGTCAAGCATGATAGGCCTCTCCGAAAACCATGTTGTGCCCTGGAGATTACTTCCTTCAACATAATTTATAACAGATATCCGAATGACTTTTTCCATCACTTTTACAACCGCACTAGTTAAGCTAACGGGTCTATAGTTACTAACTAAATCCCTACTCCTAGCATTATACACCGAACTTATTATCACGTCTTTCCAGTCTCTGGGCAGTCTGAAGTGCCTCAGAGACATGTCAAACAGTATCGCTAAAGGTTCAGCAATTATATGTCATATGACTTTCATAATCCTAGGATGAATATCATCAGGACCTTTGGACTTATCAGGTTTGAGATGCTGAAGCAGTCTTAAGACAGTATCTTTCTCAATGACTACAGGGTCCATCAGCGAGCCCTCACAATCAAAATGAATCGTTGGTCGTTCTTCATTACTGATAGAAAACACTTTACTGAAATATTCCGATAAAGCTCCAGCTTTTTCGGTATCGTTTTCAGACAAGATTAACGGATTTTCCTGTATCAAAAGTGATGGAATTCCATCGCTTCTCTGAGTTCGCCTTTTTAAATACAAGAATAACCGTTCCGGATTATATCTAGAATCCCAAACAATTTTTTTAGTATGATCTTCTAATATTACTTATCAACGCTTTACAGGCATTCCTAATCTTAAAATAACTGGATTTGTATTGTTGTAGGCCAGTAGAGATGAACATATACCAATGCTTTTTACTTTTTATAAGAAGTTTCCTGACTTTTAGTTATCCATGGTGGACTGTTAGTGGAACGTGACAAAACTATGCTCGACGGGTTGCAGATTTTTATCTTACAGTTCTTTACATTTTAACTCTCAAATTTGCCAACATATCATAGTATAGCTTCGGTATATTTGAAAGGTAAAAATTGAAAAGTCGTAATACATAGGACCATATCATAATTAAAAGTACACGTTTCATCGTATCACCTGGGAATTTTCAGAATTGTGCAACTTAGGACAAGTAAAACTACACGAGCACAAACAAACGTATTTTATTTAGATTTTGAAATCAACCGGCAATCAAGTACAAAACAATCGTTACTTCATACAAACACCACAACCGCCACAGTTTAAATTGGAATCCAAATTTCCGTATTTGATCGTGACTTTTCTTCTTAAGTTCATCGTATGTATATCAGACTATGCTTTGGATACAGACTCCATATGATCTATAATATGCTCATTAATATTAGTTTCAATATCTGAAATCATGAGTCAATTGAAGCTAGACCACCATGGAAAACCCGGAAGCACTGGACGGCCGTTTCGTCCTGTTGTGGGACTCCTCAGCAGTGCGCATCCACGATCCCTCCGAAATTGGAATAGGCTTACCAGGTTCCTTGGAATGCATTTGGTTGTTGCAACTAAACCGCCTATAAACTGCAGATTTATTGACTTGTTTTAACAAATCTTCTATAGACTATGGAAAAGAAGTTCATTTTGAAAGATTCTGAGTGAAAAAGTCTTATATTACCTACGGCTAATCGCTCAGCAGTAAACAAACTTACTGGATGTATCCAATTTTACCACATTTAAAGCATTTGGCATTACAAAATACACATGAATTAGGTGAGTGAAATTTGCCACAGGACAAACGCTTACTGAATTTGTGCTCACCTCCATGACTTGCTTTGCGATTCCTCGATGAAATGTTATCTGCTTGACCTCGGGTACTCATTGGATTGGGATAATTAAGTAATGTAGTAAAGTTCTTGATGCTGTGAAAGTCAATTTCATGCACTGTCTCATAATTATTACAATCAATTCCAGCATCTTGAAAAGAACACTTCGGCGTTCGCATAGGCTCTCTTTCCAGATTAAGTATGTTAATCCCTGCAATCAATCAATCAATCAATCAATTACGCAGCTGTACATGAAGTTGATCACCGAAATTGCCTTCGGTAGCTTGTGTTTGCGTTCCGTGGATAAGTTCTCCAAACTCTTAATTATTCTGATGATTTATTTGACGAAAATTTGCTGTTCCAGAACATTCGATACTAGTACGCTGTTACATGGTTTAATAGTAGTTCTTTGAGAGTTTCGTAGGAAAGTGACATAGACTTATCTGAAAATGCCAACGTTTTTAATAAGGTGTAGGCATCCTTCCCAATGAATGTGGTGAAATGAGTCACAATTTCATCATTCTTAACATCTTTCGTGGTCATACATCAGATTTGAAATCTCCCCACTTATTTTTTGAAAGCTTGAGAGTCTGGATGTATTTCCAATTGTTCCATCACAAGATTCTCCTCTCGACGCCAATATGTTAATTAAAGTATCCAAATAATAGTATTACCTAGGAGTTCCTGAAGCAGTGCAATTTAAGACAAATGAAACTAGATGAACACAAACGAACGTATTGTGTTTATAATTCGAAGTCAACCAAGAATCAAATGCGAAATAATCATTGCTTCATACAGATACTTTCCCCTTTTTAGTTGGTAATTTGCTTCAGAAGTCGACATTCATTGCACAATTATTATTATCACGGATGAACTCGTTCACTGGATGTTCATTTCTTTTCTCTCTTTTTTCCCATCTAAAAAAATATTATTCTTCATTTTATGAAGTTCGTAATTTGGATAATAATCTGTGTTACACTTAACTTCTCAGACTCGTTTTATCTTCACTACACATATATGACCAATACATATTGATATTTGGTTATCCTTTTCACTTAACTGTGACTTGCATAGCATCACTCCAAACTGTGACTGCACAAACATTCTAGCATCATATCTTACTGTAACAA